GGATGGCTGCTTTCTCTACTCTGCTGCTGACGGAAGGAGTCTCTAAGAAAGAAGTTTTACCCGCCGCATGAATTTTCCTACGAGCCTGGGCCCTAGCGTGAATGTCCGGTCAGTGCTGCCGCCCTGTGACGCTGACCTCTTTCTGCATCCGTGTTCTCAAACGGGAAAGCGGCCGCACTGTGTGCACGTGCCAGCCGTCGTCGGAGCGGAACCCTTTCCCCCGAGGGCGGTCGGGGGCATTGCCGGCGGAATACAAAGCTGTCTTCTGGACCTGGTCTTCCGGACCTGCAGAGCGCCCAGCCTCTCATGCCGAAGACCGCCACCGTGCTGCAGATGGACGACGAGGAAGGTGGCGACGCTAGCGATAGGGCAGTCTGGCGCAGAGCCTGAAGTCACGTGACGGAAAGAGGCAAGACTTGACACATTTTCGCAGATGACAGGGTTTCCCGTAGTAGAAAGAGCCTTTCTTGATTGCATCTGGTATTTCCTTTCTTCTAGCAAAACTCGATCCGACGGATTCAACCGGCAGGAATTTCTGCAGCGGACATTTGTGGAGGGAGAGGCTCGTGTGGGAAAATCGGCTCCTTAAGTGGGAGACCGCCCTTCTCGACCGACTCTTTTCCGGTCTTCTGACGTACACGCGTTGCAAACGTGCCCAGAGGACGACATGACGATGCTCTTCGGAGAAATGCTCATGTCCCGTCCACGCGCCCGGTCCAGGCAGAAGCTCTTGCTTTTCTGTGGGTTGTAGAAATCAGGATTTGGGGCAAAGGGGAGGAAAAAGCTCACTGAAGAGCGACTGCCTAGGCCTGACTGGATTCACTAGCTCTGTTCTCCTGTTGAAGTACCTCCCGAGGCAGGGGCTTTCGCTCTGGCTTACGCAGGATGTGCCCAACCAAAAAAGCAGTTTTTCTCTTGGTAGCGTGCATAAAACAAAGCGAGATGTTCTTCAGAAGGACAAATCGCAGCTTACCGATACGGCCGTTGCACGCCCTTGCCGAAGGCCAGAATGCCGCTGCGAAAGTATTTACGGATGGAAATTTCAGAGTGTCTCTCAAAAGTGTGTAGAGGAAGGGAAGGCTGGAGTCACCCAGGGCTTAGATTAAAAGTGCTGGTAGGTGTCAGCAGGATGGACTCTCTTTTCTGCCGATTCCCTACGAGGTTGGGTGTGTGTGAGACATCAGACCGATCCAGCTGTGTGTTTTGGTCTGTGAGTCTTCCCTGAGCTTTTCTGTGTCTTTTACGGTTTGTCCTTATCGCTGTAGGCCAGAGGCAGAAAAGGCAGGCGAGGTTTGTCTCCGACAAACGTGTACCTAGATTTTGACCAGAATGTTTTGGTATGGCTCGGAGCAAGGAAGGGGTAGGAAAGCTAGGAGTAAAACCGAAACTTGAGTTCCTCAGTGGCCTTGGGGAAAAGGATAGTTGACCTCCACAAAGGTCGAGAGTAAAGACGGAGTCCCAGGGAATTTCCCCTCATCTAACTGCTGCTTAAAGGCATCTCTTTTATAGTTTAACCCTGCTTGTGCTTCTGGCTTTATGACAGAAGACATAGTATCTGAAATCTGCCTTTCCCTGTTTTAACTCCTTCCAAATACCCAGGTCCTCTCCTTGGTGCCGATGCGTGGTCGGTAGCATTTCTCAAAGCCTGGGACCGCAGAGCAACCCCGGCGCATGGTGCGGGCCGCCATTGAACTGTCTTGAGTGATTTGCAATTGCCTGGTCGCTGTCTCAGGGTAGGCTCAATATTTGTACCTCATGAAATCAGACCTCGACCAAGCATATGGGGGAAGAGGAGAAGCTGGATTGCACGCACGGAGACTTCCGAAGGAGTTCTCCCTGCTTACGAGGGCCTGCCTTTCCTAATGCTGCGTTTTGCCACCGGCTGCGCAATTTTGAGACGGTGGCTGGTCAGTGAAACCGAAGTGGTTTGGGTTTGGTGTTTTGGTGTGGGGTTTTTTTAATTAGTGTGTTGGGTTTATTTTTTTGGCTTCTTTTGTTAACGCTTTTTCTAGGAGCCTCACTGTCAAAAAAAGCGCTTGTATCCTCTTGAGGCCAGAGACAACACCCATGGGAAGAAATGGAGAGAACCTCAAGACCTCTGTGTTTTGGGGGCGCCATAGTAATTGGCGTGAGGGATATCCGACAGGCCTGATACGTGGAGAGAGGCGCTCGAAGGCCGCCGCGTACTTGAGGGCAGAGGGATCGCGTGCACACGCACGCGTGTTTGCGCACGCTTGTAATTAGGGCATGCTCTGCAAACGCCCGTACCGGTCAGGCTGCAAAGCGATCGGCCAGATCGGTGGATTGGGAGAGCAGTCTTACCAGCTTCTGTGGGGTTCTACATGATATTTCTTAGGTGGACTTCCGCAGGAGCACACTTGAGCAAGCGAGTCCAATTTCTGCCCCTCCCGGCACCGTCATGCTGCTTACGTAGTTGAGGATGGCTTTTGAGGCAGATTGGCTGAAGAAGGAGAGAGCGAGGGGAGACTATTCAGGCAGAAAGCTAGTCAGAAAACAATTCTTTAAAGGGGAATGTAACGAAAACTTCTTCAAAGCAGAGTAAGAGGGCCTAGTGCCGTATTGCAGATGTTTTTGTTCCGCTTGTCTTTAGCCACGCTGCCTCCTTCCTGCGACGGCATCTCTCTCGGTTCGTCGTTTGCTAAATCTACATAGCGGTCATTTCTGGGTAGCAGGCGAAATGCTCGAACGTCAGTGGCCGGCATTTGTGTGTTCTGGGCCCTTTGTGTTGTTCTCCCCTCTCTCCCCCTAGGTCACGGGGAGTGTCATGGTAGAGTAACAATCTCGGTGGCGATCAAACTTCTGGAAAAGGTCTTTGTTGTAGATGTGATATCGCAGCTTCTTCTCTGGGCCTGAGCGTTCCACACCACCTTTCCTTGCTCATACAGGTAGCAAACCGAATAGCTATGCTGAATTTAAATTAGTGCCCCTCCTTGTGTGTGTTCTTTTGTACTTCGATGCCTTCTCTTCGGGTGGATTATTTTAATCCCAGATTGTTTAGAGGGAAAGAAGTAGGAACCGTGTAGCTACGTAAGAGATCACAATGCAACTACTTAATTTGGACTAAATGAAAGAAGTTCTTGCAGCTTTGTAAATGTTGAAGAATTCCATTGCTGTGTAATGGCTCAACCTCTTAACTTATTAAACCACATCGAAATCAAAATCTGACCCTGCGTCTGACTTCGTACCTACTGGCACGTGGCGAGTTGGGCTTTGGCTTTCTAGAAGTTCAGAGAGGTGGTGGATCGGTAGCCCTCTTCGCTAAGAGTGTCATCTCTGAACAGCCATTTGTGCCCAGAGCAGGTGCGTGACTTAACAGTAAGACGACAGCAAGGGCAGTAGCCTTTGCCGTGCTTCTGGGAGGCAAGGGATTCCCGAGACGACGTTGGCCCTGGAAGGCATGAGCAGCACCGAAACCTTCGGTTGACTTCAGACGTGCAGCAGTACCCCGGGAGGGTCAGCTGCAACTTCTTGGGGTGCCCTAGCGGAGCAGGGAGCGCCCTGTCCTCTCCCTCACTAACGCTCGCTTTGACGTTTTCTTCTCCCTTAGCCTGCCCTGCTTTCCCTCGCTTCTTGTCCCCGCTGTGTTGCGGGGCCTGCAGTTCCAGCTGCAAAGTCAAGGTAAGCTGGAGGAGCGGTGGCTGCACCTTTCTGCCCCTGGCAGGGCTCAAC